TGACTGTTAAGCTAAGAGTTGCCGGTTTTTATCCATGTACAGAAGAACAAATATTTTTGCAGGATGTGAATGCTCACTTGACACCAGTGTCTGTTCTTTATATAAGCGTTTTCTAATGCACAAGTTGATTTCAAGTACTGACAGTCCATGCATCTGAGGAATGGTTCACTATGAATCAGTTGAGGGCGAGGAAAAAAGGAGAAACGGCCGTGCTTGAGAAGACACTTAACAAAAGTACGGCACACCAACGCTTTTACTTTTGGAACACAGCCAAACACTACACCCAAGTTCTATATTTAATAATGCTCTGCACCCACAGACACAATGAGCAATGTGGAAGAGAATTATGACAATGGCAGGTCATTATTACCCTAATGCACCCGAGGGTCTTTTAGCAAATTATCTCCATATGCATGCAATCCTTCAGCAAAGGAATACACAATAATGAAATCTCCTTCATTCAAACCTACCGACATCTACATGTACTGGTACATGTCTACACCACTGTAGTGGAGATTTTTTTGTTGTTTTCTTTTTAGTCTACGACATCCATTTCAACTCCAAAACTGCACGGACAGCTATGGACAAAGACATGATGTGGAGAAAATGAATGCCCTGGAAGGGAACGAAACATAAAACCCTGGCGTGCCAGCAGGCTGCGGGGCAGGATTGGCTGCTGAAAAGCTGCAAGACTCGTGGGGGGGAGGGCTGCTACTTTCTTAATTTATCCCCAGCCCTTTCCAACGCCCACTTGGGTCATTACCGGGGATTAAAACAGAGAGGCTAATCTCCCCTCGTGCGTGTGACCCTCCATTAATGCCTCCGATGACCAAATGGACATGAACAGGGGGTGTAAATGATACTGTGAGTCGTTTCTCGGCTGCTCGGGTGGGAACAAAGAACTCGGCCACAGCTGAAGTACCCTCCAAACTTCTTTCTTTTTTTTTCTTACTGTTTTTTCCAGCGGTTAGGGGTTTGGTTTCCATTTTGATGATGTACTGCTGAAAGACAGGGCATTGTTGGAGCTAGCTTGTACTGGTATAAATTTACGTTTTGGGTGAAAAATAAAAACCATGCATGTCCACTTTGCAGATTTTATTTCTGTTTTGGGGTAATGAAATTCACTTGTTATCCTGCAGCGCACATATCTATTACTTCCCAAAGGTAAAAGTAAAAGTTTCAATTTGTGAGAATGGGTGTGGAAAAAATTGTCACTGTATGAAAAACGCTCGCCAACCTGAGATATTTACTTAAGTCTTTTTTTCAAATGTTTTGGCTATTTAGGCATTATACATAATTTCGGTGATGACTGAAAATCAGAACGGTCTACTTGTACACATCTTCATTAACTTCAGCCTTCCCGATTTTTCTTTGCTTTTCAACTCATTCTTCTGGAAAAAGCCACTGAGTACAACAGTTTCTGAAAACACGTAGCAGTGTTTCTTTCGCTGAAATTTGCTTTCCAAACTGAAAATTCCTTCCTTGGAAGACATTCTCAGAATAGCTGGGTTTCAATAATGAGACAAAAGAATGCATGATTTGGCAGAGTGTTTCTAACTCTTGTCAGCTGGTTTTACACATGTCAGGTTTGGACAATTTTAATGCAAACGTGAACAATGGAAATAGGGCAGGTACAAATACTAGAAGCTCTTGCCAACAAACACGCTATTTTCAGTGCTGTTTTCTTTATGGAGACAGAATTAATTTTGGCAAAAGCACCAAGCACACTGCTCTGAAGAGCACCCCGCTGTGACAACAAGAGCAATTAACTTTCTGCCAGCAACTTCCCTTGGCCTCGTCAATCCACGCAACGAGAGAGCAACACGCGAGATATCGCTGGCAGCAAAGATAACACTTCGCGAGGCCAAAAACTGTGGCTGGGGAGGAATGGGGGGGGCGAGGAGAGGTCTTGTGTTTATGGTTGCCCACTCGCGCTTCCCAAAAAAGTAGGACTACAAACAGGTGATAAAAGTGTCAGTCGGAGGGGGGGAATGTGAACACGCTGGGAGGAGCACACAGCTCGTTTTTTCCGGCTCCCGCTCACAAGTGCGAAACCTAATTTCGGCCGCGGCTCGTGTTTCCCTTATCTCTCACGGGGCAGGGCTCCCCTGCTCCCGGGGGAGAAGAGTTGGAGAAGTCTCGAGCAGGTTATATTCAGGCAGGGCTGCTGCTGTCAAGGGTGCAAGCTATATAAGCATCGGGTATTCCGCTTAATGTGAGTACACACTGTACATAATTTGCGACTGCTCTGTAGTGTTTTGTTAGTAAGCGTACACTTGTATCCTCAAAGGCAAGGGAGATATTGGAAAAGGGTTCTGGAATGTATGCATAACTGATGGATTGAACGATTTTTTGAAATTTTGAAATGCAACAGACAAAAATACATGTAAATGCAAGCACTCCACACCAATTACATCAATTAAATTGTAACACGCGTACAAATTTATGTAGTTCCACCATTTTTGTTCCAATGTGAGGCACACAAGAAGCTTAATTTCCTCTTTCACCCCGGACAATCATATCTGGGGATAACGACATCAATCAAAACTGTGACTCATGACTACCTACACAATGCACTGGCAATGGTGCTGGTCGTAGGCTGTGCTGTTAAAACTTCACAGACTGTGACAGTAACTGACATCTGGAGACTTCCTCCAAAGGGTACAGGTACCAGATCTCTTCAAGGAAACCTTACTGAATCATCACAATACACCCTTGTGCAGGAAAGTACACAAAGGAGTCTCAAGCCTGTAAGTAAACCGGTACAGTGATAGTAATTCAACACTGTATCTTTCTAAACCCTGAAAATCCTCCTTTAAATAACCTGGTGGATTTCGAGGGGTCTGGGACACTTACATGTACCTGTAGCAATTTAACCCTAACACTCCTCAGTCCTCCAACAGATGAAGGATTGAGGAGGGTTAGGGTTAAATATCTTTGAATTGGACTTTCATACACGTACAAGGTCATCTGAAGCACATGTACATTCAAGTATGTTTGTACATGTAGCTTACGGTTCTGGTAGGGCCAACAGGTATCTTACATACAGGTACCTAACCCACAAGCCTTTCAAAGATTGTGGGAATTTGGGGGGATTGAACTAAGTTGGGTTTTTCAGTTGGCCTTGTTCCTACAGCACATACTGCAGGGTAAAATTCGGGGACACTGTCTGTGTTTTTTTTTGAGACCAAGTAACCTTGACACACAGAGACTCTTAATTGGTGTTGGCACTGCCACACATTATCAATTTCTGACCAGCAATGGGGCATTTCCTGACTGAACTCTGTACCGGACTGGGGAGAGGGAAATGAGAAATCTATGGCGTCAACGAAGGGAAGAGAAGAGGGGTGGCTTGTTGTGAGGGCCAAACAAAATCAACTTATCCTCCATTTATTAAATGGTTATTAGAAAGTAAAATCCCCCCCTAAAGTATTAGAGGCACTAATGCCAAAAGTTACAAATATTGACAGACACTTGGTCACTTCCCTAATTCAGTAAACTTATGTGCAAAGTCTACTTCTCTATTCTCAACAGGCATTTCTGCCCTGAAGGTGGGTGCACATTGACCATACACCATACATGTAGGTTCACGTAGGCCTAGCTGTGCACATCCTGTACAGCTCCCAAATGCAAACCAGCCCCATCACCCAATTCCTACTTGACCCAATCCAACAAAGTGAGTCACAAGTTGCCAGAGCAACTATTGAAGGGCCTTTAAAGATGATGTTGCATCATGTAAATCAATGGGAACCATTCACATATTTCTCATATTTATTGTCCATTTCAATCAAGATGCAAAAATGTACACACCAAAACAAAGAACTCACTTTAGAGTCATTCTATAAATTAAGGGTCCAAATTTTTCGGGTCCCTGTTACATCTGGCATGATTTTGTAAGTTCAGAACACATTCTCAAATTTCCAAGAGTGATGAATTAATACAAATTACCTGCCAAACAAACAGAAATAGTTTGAAATCAATTTCAGTGATATTTCCAATTAAACTGACAAAGGTCAGGTGTAACAGGGACCCAAAAAGATTACACTTTTGGACCCCAAATTTATAGAATGACCCTTTACTCTTCATCGTGCAAACCAAAACAAAAGTACATGTACCAAACATTTGGCCTTAAGATTCAGTTGGTGGGACACTTTCCACAGTTCTACACATTGGAGTGAAACTCCTTTAGTAAACTTCCTTGGCAGTTTTTCAAGAAACGTTACTCGATCCTTCCAAAACCTCCACCGTGCAGGACACAAAAATGACATTCAACTTTAGTTTCAAAGGCGCATCAAGCCACAGGCAAAGTGAGAGCCGACTGACACTGGCGAACAGTAACAGAATTTTGCACAGGAAAAAAATGGACTACAATTGTTTCCTGTGGGACTGTCTAAACTGAAACACTGGACAGACTACAGGATGCAGTAGGGAGATAATATGGTGCGTTTAGAAACCCGAGTGTTTTTTTAAAAAAACTACCAAGGTACATGTAAGACTGCGTGTTCTGGCCAATCAGCAGTCTCAAGAGGAATGACGTCAGGGACTGACCGGGAGACTGTTGGAGGGGCTATGCTTTCTTCGCACCTTATAGTAGATTCATCCGGTGGGATGTGTTATTGCAAAGAGTCATTAACATATTGATTTGTATACTAGACAAGTTTCCATCTTGTGTATAAATTATGTAAACTATCAAGTGGCACACTGCTTTCAGTTACAGCTCACCAATGTAAACAAGCCCTAAACTGAGACTACATGTAAGTCCCACTAGAAATTCTGCACTGAACCTGTGTGAAGAGAAGATTTCACGGGATGTACCGACCAAGGTGTTCGCAAGCTAAAGTCCACTGTTAACTTCTGAAATGAAGAATTTCCAGTGAAGGTACAATGCTTTGTTCGGGAATGTACCGGGGAATGTACCGTACAGCTGCAAACTTGGGCTCGGAAAGAAAAGAAAACACTAATTCAGTCAAACAGAAAAAAAAAGTCACTTGGATGCTTACCTATCCTGCGCAGGGAGTAGTTCAACTGGTGGATCTGCCGCTCCAGGAACAACACGGCAATCACCACCACTACAACCAACACCACCGACAGTCTGTTCTGCAGCATGGCTCGATGCGGAATCCAGGAAAACTTGGCCATCGGACGAGAAACTGAGTTTCCGTCTGAGCAGTGGGGGCCGACGCCCTCCTCCAAAGGAAGACACGGCAGCAGTTTTTTTTTCTTTCCCCGAGGTGAAAAGGAGATTTCTTTTAATACGGTGCTCCTCTTTACGCTTTGGCGCTTATGGCGGTTGGCATTACTGCCTGCTGCATTCAAGGGCAATAGCCCTGGATCTGGTAGGGCTAGCAGGTTGTTCACCAGGCAGACAGCTCGCAGTCCACACTCAATTTTGTGACGGTATGTAGTTTTGCTTCACCAGACACACAAATGTGCAATGTTGTGCTTTGAAGATGGAAAACTTGCAATCAGGAAAGAAAGCCCCTCACAGCAGTTTGGTTCCTGGGTTGAGATGATCTGCAGCATAAGTTGAGAAAAATTGAAAAAAAAAAAAAGGTTCAAATCAAACAAAACTTATTCCCTGTGCAAAATAGACACACAAGAAAAATGCTTCTGTGAGATGGCTTCAAAGCCTGATAAACTACGTGTGATACAAAATAAACTCACCAAACACCACAGGGCTCAAACCAGAATGAAATTCACATATAACAGGCAGTGGTCAAGCAGAAACAAGTCAAAGAGACACATATGCACATGCTTTTACATGTTCACTCTTGTCAACAACTTGCACCTTAAAACTGCCTTTGACCACTGACAGTTCCAAGCATCAATTTCCGCATGATTCTCTTTGAGTCACATTCACAAGACCGACATTACAGTGCTGCATGAAGGTGTCTGAATCATTCGTCTTGCAACGAACAGTACGAGGGCCCAAGACAACTGCGTGAACGTCAGCTTCCTCCAGGAGCCTCAATTTGGCAGCAGTCAAACTTCTCAGCGTAACTAATATGCACCAGTGAGTGAGGGACCGTACTGCGGCACATTTCAGAGTGTCAGTACCTCGGGCACCGTGTCAGTCCGGTGGGGAATACAAGAATGGATGATATCGGCAATATGTGTCCCTCAGCCTCGGAGGTTCATGTGCGCGTAGATTTTGCCACACACCGTGGGTGCATCTACCATACTGTCCTGTTTTTGCATGCACATGTACTTCAGTCACCATGCATTCCCTTCACTGAGACAAACTCTGCTCGGTGCAAGTGTGATGTCGTCGTTGCTTTTGAAGTAAACCACCACCGTCTTGTGCCAATACAGGATTTCCTGGTGTTAAACACTCAATATGTGGCTGTCACGAGGCAATACATTGTATATCATAAACGGACCAATGTATGTTTGAACTTTTGAAGAGAGTGTATCAGGATATCTTAATTGTGGGTGAAAAAAACATCTCATCATCTATTATTAGAGTAAATGTAAACAGCTGTCCTAACATTTGGGATAGGTACCCGTTGTATTGATGGTGCAACATGTACATGTACATGTTTGGTCACAAAACTGTGTTACTCATGTCTGAAGCAGTGACCACTATGCCCAGTCCAATCCATCATGAACAGTGCCCCCACTCATGTCGAACTGCATCCCGAGAGCACCCAGCCTACATGTACATGTACAGTAAACTGTACTTTCAAATCTCCGCTGGTTACATTTATGTGGATATTTGTTCTACTGATTCACTTTTCCATCCCCACAGCTGGTCAAGCAAAACACAAATAAACGTACAGCCATGAATGGCGTACAGCTACAAAAAAAGCCAATTTGGGAGTCTGGAAATGTTTTGCAGACTCCCGAGTTGGCTTTTGGCACCACTGGGCCAGTGGTGCCAAAAAAGTGTAACAAGTCACGCCAAAAAGTAATACTTTGTACATGTAGGCCACTTCCCGCCAAATATAAGCAGGGGCCTGCCTCCAAATCACACTCTGCACACATATCGAGTTCAAAGGTCCATTTATCAACTGAATGATAATGGAAGAACCCCCAGCCCACTACACAAAAATGGCCAACATGTGAATAAAGTCTAGTGAGTGGTATATGAATGGATATTTGACCCTAATGCTTTCCCACACATATCAGTACAGGGTAAGTGAAAGTCCGACATGTTTCTGTCTTGTTTTTTTTTTTAGTTTTGTTTTGTGTTTTTTGTTTTGCTTTCAGCCAAGACAGGTTGAAAAAGAACAGAAAGTAGGAATGTAACCCCAGCATCACACTTTTCTCTATGTTTACGCGTATATGTTGTGTGCGATTGTTGGATGTGTGCTATTGGTTGATCGGGCTGTTCTAGCACCATCAATCGATCTCAGATGAAATCTTTGGCTTTGAATTAGGAAAGAAAATTCGATCGACTGATGGCAGAGTTGTCGACAGATGTTGTACAGGATCGACCAATAGCACAGTGCATGAGCAAGTTGCACATTTGTACCAGCATGACCAGTCACCCTGTACATACCCACAGGTAAGTTACGTACTGTATGTATTGTGGGGCCAGACATGTCACTGCCATGGCTGCACTTCAGATCTTTGCGGTCGTACTAAATAACGTCAACACAATGTCAACACACCCAAATCACGTTCTAAGTTACAGAAACGCAATTCCATAGCAATATAATGTTTAAAATACAATTTGGCTAACAACAGTGGGCGACATTTGGGGAGAAAAAGCCATTTTATTTCACGAAAATAACACCCTCCGTACAGCCACGAAAGACGGTAGCCATGTTGCCTCTCGGATAGACGGACCATACCATTATGCTTAGGGGGTCACCTTTATACAGTAAACCATGGTACCGTCGAAACGCAGTGAGAAGGCAAGATGGCGGCGAACGGCGGCGCTGCTCAGAGACAATTTTTCCGCGTGAAAAAACTCCCTTGAAATGTAGTAAAATGTAAACTCCATTAAATAGAAGTTATTGCTAAGCGTATACATTACAGTTTGATACGTCTGTTTTCAATGCATTTTGTAAGTGTTGACGGTGTGTTGACGTTACTATTAATGTGTTGACAGTGTGTTGACGCTGATTAGTACGACTCGATCCTCGAACTACAATGAAAAAGTATAATTCACAGATAAAAATAAAAGTCCCATGCTGCACTCAATCAACCATGTCAACAAGGTTATTACACGTATGAAAGGGGTGAAACTGAATGATACATGTGCATTCATCTCCTTGTTTCAAATGGAACAATTAGAAAGAGCACACACAGACAAGCTTTAAACGCTTCACAAACATGAACATTATACCACGGAGGAACCATGATTATACACACACACCGTGGCACACGAACATGCTTGACAACCATGACAACTGCTTGACTTCAAACATGTACACATGTGCATCGTGAAGCTTACCTACAATGTACATTTACGTGTCTGTAACTAATGGTAACACTGCAGCCGTACCGCTCAAGCGATAGATCCACACAGGCAACGCTCCCGCGGTCTGCCACTGAATGCAAAGACCAGCGTAGTCCCACGGCCGTGTTTGGTCAGTTCAGAGCGTTTTGGGAAACCGACCAGTCAGTAGGCCTACCTTGCAAAACGTAGGAACTGCCAAGCCTCCTAATTATGAAATATCACAAAAACGTCACTTTAACAGTTTGAACTTCATTCAGGATGTTTCCGATCTTTGACAACTTTCCTCGTCTTCACTGTAAAGCACTCCGGCACTATTCGTCCACAATATTGTCAGTAATGCCATATGTACTACCACTCTTGTCATGCTTGTGTACGTGTGCATGCAAGGTTTTGTTTTCTTTGCATAGTCTCAAATCAGCCGTAAGCTGCCCATAAATAAACGCGATACTGCAATCACATGGCACTTCCACCCCTAGAACCTAGCAGGCAGTTGAATTGACAGCAAGTCGCTTTAGTTACATAAAGATGTCTCGACTGCTGGATCGAAGTCTATTCAAAGATAGTCAGATAACCCGTATTGTGATAAGGGGAAGAGAAGGGGAATATACTGTATGGCGCTGTAAAGGGCGCCCCCAATATTTTCTAAGATGGCAGACCCTTTGGGTCTTTTCGCCTTGTTTCTCTGCCTTATACAGGTTTGTGATTCCTTATTTTGCAGCGTTTTGCGCGTGAATATCGTTGTCATGCGGTTGACGAGGGCCTCATCGTGCACTCTACGTAATAATTTTACTTTAAGCTGTGTATCTGGCTAGAACAAAACGTTTTGTCGTGTGGCAGGTATGGTATAGGACACGTCACCAGGCAGTCCGTCCGAATGCCGCAGTGCACCCAAAACTTTTCAAAAGCCGTTCATTTTATTTGCTACGAATGCAGTTTTCCATACAGTAGGCGCCTTAATTCATGACTTCGACTGCGTCTAGAATTCCGTTGATTTCACCTATTTTCGTTGAGGTTTATGCCAAAATAATTTTTGTTTGTGATGGACAGATAACTATTCATTACTTAGTTACAGTGGCAATCTGCTGGAGACAATTTTGAGGTTTTTAGCATGTTAGTTTAGTAGCATAAAGAGACAACAAATCAGGCCTTGACATTAACGGTTGTCCGATTGCTCGGGACAAGAAATTTCTTCTTTCGCTGGGCAAGTAAAAATTAAGGACAAATTGCCCAATGGACAGGTACTTTTTTCTTGAAATAAAAGTGTCCATTTTTCATGGCCGTGATGAATCTGAGAATAGTAGTCAGCAAATTTACCTTCGATTTGTTGTTTTCCTCTTCGCAAAAGCTTATAAAAAGTGGTAAAAAGTAAACAGCCATGTGGTGTACAATGATTTTTGCATCATTACGTACATGTACAAACTCGTGTATTAATCACGCTGTACATGTACATTAGCAGGGCACCTCTCCACACAAGCATTACAAGGAAAATGCATACACAAATAAACTGTAAAATGCCCTTGTGTCTTGGTACCAGACCTCATTTTTATTGCATGCACGGCACAGCAGAGCTTTGATGGCCAGAGGCTCGAAGACTGTTTTACATGTGGCTGTGACTTCAACATGAGTGAATTTTATGAGCTAATTGTGTGTGTACTTTTTGCATAGGCAAAGGCAAAATTGTCAAGTGGTTAAGAAATAGCCACTACCAAACTTGTTTGAGTGATGCATCAGAGTTCTAGGCACACTGGGGTGATGTATATTCATGTTGTATTGTGGCGTAGCAATTTTATTAATAGTAATTGGTTGAAGGAACTTACTGTCCCCGCACAGCATTGAACAACTAAACCAGGGTTTGGGTAAGTAAAATCTTACCACAGGTTGGTAAATTTTCAGTGCTACTTGCCCAATGGACAAGTAGCTAAAAAAATTAATGTTGAGGCCTGCAAGGAATGTACATCTGCAAGGACGAAATTAGCATCATGAATCTTGCTCGAAACAGCACTTTTTTCTGTGGCACCACATCAAAATTCCCCATAAAATTGAGAGACCAGGTCTCACTCTTCCAAAATCAGTTAATTTGGTGACGATTTGTCTGGGTCAGGGTACCTTGATTTCTCAGCTTATCTCCGGGAACAGCGAGGCAATTCTGCCACCATGTTGAATGGAAATTTTTCTGCACGCTGATTGGCCAGAGCCGCTGCTGTCAAAATTCCTGGATGTACAGTGTTCAAGGCATTTTTGGCGGTTGATGTGTTTGCCAAGCACCAAGAAACAAAATCAACAACCATGTATAAAACACGAGAGATAACCTGACATATCTTTTCAAATACATGCACGTTTTATTTCTTCTCGATCAAGGAAATTACATGCAGGTTGTTGAAAATCCTATAAATGAAAGGGAAACTTCACACAGCACACCGTAACAACAAATTAGCTGCTGTATGATTGAGATACATGTCGGGTATGCAGCACAAATGAAAAATATCATCAATGCTTTCCAGAACAAGGAAACTTATTGCAAGAAATGGCATGTATACTGACAGGAGCATACCTTTTAAACTACCATTTCTGTGTTACCCATATTGATGCAGGTACATATTGATATAAGTACATTAATAAACTGGTGAACAAAATCTGTTTGCTCACTATCCTGACACATTTAGTACATTACAGTTTGCACAAAATGTTACAGACTCTGACGTAAGTTACAAAGCCAAGTTCTCCTTGGAATTATGAGTATACAGAAGTCGTTTCAGTTTTAATTTGAACATGGCTTGCAGCAGTCTACATTGATGGTCGGTTATAAAAGATGTAATGTTGGAAGATGTATACAACAAAAATTCTACTGCAAATTGTATCTTTTCCTAAACTTTAATCCTATAGGGAGTCTTCAAACTCCTATTCCTAGAAACTGTCATTAGACAGGTGATCACTTGACTCTAATAGCAGGTAAAGTTGGAGAAACATTATCAACAAACTTCTCATCACTCGTAGATGAAGAAGACGGAGATTCACCATCAGATGAGCCTTCTTAAAGCAAATTTATCCTCGGAAGTGTAGGTCCTCGTAGTTTCTGCAAGCCTGCATCCTGGCCCACAAACCTTATTATCCTTCCTTGTTGACGCTGTGCTTACACAGTGCAGAGAGTACAGGTTGATTCAAATACGAGCTAACCTGGGTACAAGTTAACTTGAGAACGTGTTCACTTGGGTACAAGTTGACTTGGTGTTTAATTTGGAGGTGTGAGTTAACCTGGGTACAGGTTAAAATGAGAACCTATTAACTTGGGTACAAGTTGACTTGGTGTTTAATTTTGAGTTATGAATTAACCTGGGTACAAGTTAAAATGAGTACCTGTTAACTTGGGTACAAGTTGACTTGGTGTTTAATTTGGAGGTATGAGTTAACCTGGGTATGAGTTAAAATTTCTGTATGCCCTTTAAAATGTGGGCAGGGCATGCTAAACTTATTTGGAGAGGGAAATTCTCTCAAGAAGAATAATTTGTTTCCAATGAATGGGAAAAGCATGGCCACAACTGAAGGCATGAAAGGCAAAGCCTAGAAAATCCCCTTCAGTGACGTCAAAAACAGGAAAAATGCTAGTTGTCCGGTTCGTAAGTGTGACATCACATCAGTCTAAACCACACCCACAGCACATGCACTGCACATAGAGTAACATGCATTGATCGCTGTTACCGTGGAACCGGAAGTTGATGCACAGCAATCGTCCAATGGGAGCCTAAAAATCGTGGCGCGTCCACCTTTGTGACAAAGTCACTTACGAACCGGATAGCACCTTGTCATGTTTGTGCACGTGCCTTTGCGGTGGCCGCACGCACAAGATTCCAATTCTTGGTAGTGACTGCCAAAACGTACCCCAGCAGAGGTTTGTTTCAGAGAGTGGTGCGCACAATAAACCCCGTAGTTGTAGGGGTACAGCTTCGAGATGGCGGAATGAGGGTGTTTTTTCAAAGCATTACTGAATGTCAGGTGATGTTGATGTAGTTACACCCTCTTGAAGTCACTTTCAAGAGGATCAAGTATTCCAAATTAGATGGAATACACAAAAGCGTAAGCCAGTAAGCTAGTGACAAAAGTTTATTCAAGTTTGATTTCAATTTTTCTGATTCTCGTGTAGGTAGCCCGTTCATCCGGCCAGTTTGAGTCTGCAGCTCCACCCATCAGACAGGACTGCTTTGCACTCGGTCTGTCTTCCAATCTCTTGTGCAGCTCTTGTGGCATCCTTCCAAGTCACGGACTGGAATCGCTGGTGCCGGACTGCCAGACGTGCTGTCACAAAGACAACGATGCCGAGGATCACAAGGTGACCAGTCGCGCCCGCATCTTTGCCCCCCCCACCTTCCCTCTTTTGTGTTTAAGAGAAGATGTAGCTTGTTGATAGAGTAGCTGATTGGAATGGTTAAAACAGCGTATCAGGAGATGAAATTTTGAAGTTCTGTGACTGGTTCTATGTATGTCAGTTTGAGTCTTGTTTGCCAATTTGATGTTATCTCAGCATGCGTGCACATCAAGAATTTAGGAATTTTTTTAGGAAGAATTCCATATTGGACAACACCATTTTTAAGTGTCACTGTGGGGCCCCTGTTCATTTCAGGGGGATTTAAGCAAGGGAAGTGGGCTCAGGGGCACAGGTATGAAAGTGAGCTAAACTTGTTAGTTGTGACTCTCAAAAACTATGACCTTCCAATGTGGAATTCTTTCCAATTTTTGTTCATTTGATAAGGCAGATAAAATGCACACAAGTCAGTTAAGGCAGCTGCAACCAAGTCTGAAGTCCACGTCATGCAACAATGAAAGCTGAAAGTTGGGGAGTCAGGTTGGCATAGTGGCTCTTTCCTCGCCTTCGGCCTCTGGGCCCTAGGTTCGAATCCCACCAAGGTCCCCATTTGGATTGGGTTTTCAGTCCCAGCCTGATTCCTTGGGTTTAATAGCTGGAATATTTATCCGGGGATTTCCTCCCACCTCTAAAACTGAAAATTTCTTCATTGTCTCCTTAACTGTCACTTCATCCTTTTATTGGTGCTAAATGGGCTTTTGGATGAAAATATTGATAGATCAATAAATAAGTACAGAATAAGGTGTGCATTTAAGCATATGCAGCAAAGTAGAAGAGTCTTTGCTGAATCGTTTGTGAGTTAACTTCTTTGCTTCCTCAGTGGTGATGACCACACAACAAAGTCATGTGTTCCTTTGCCCTCATAGCTTTATCCAAAGGCAATCCTGGAGGTATGTAGCTGAAAATTGGGGAGATTTCCACAGATCCAGGGTGAGTACCTGCTGTCACCATCCCCTATTTCTAACAGGCGTTCCAGAGTCGTGCCAAACGAAATGGATTATGAGCGACCCAATCAGATATTGGTTTCTGATAGGTGAACTTGCAAAGGAAAACTACATAAACAAACCAAGTCTCTCCCGAGTCATCGCAACGGCTGTAACTGCTAATCTTTCATCCACTGGCATGCCTAGTTGTGCTTGATTGTATGAAACATAAAACTTAATTCACATCTCGGCTCAACTTTGGCGCACCTGTCTGAAATGGGATGTAATTGTCATAAAGACATGTGATATTTCTGTTGTTGTTTCAGTCCAGTTCTGGTTTTATTTGGCAAGGAAGGGGGGTTTTTGCATATAATTTCCAGTGCAATTACTCCAGAGATTCAGCTTAAGAAATTTTTCATGTACTGTTTACAAACCATCAAAATAAAAAACCTCAGGACAATAACTTTCAAAAGATTTTGGAGTAAAATAAGAGAGGCACCTTTTATTTTAGTAGAATGAGTTGAATGCACAAAGGTATTTTTCTTGCATGTTTAAGATGGTAATACGTGTACATGTAGTTAGTAACCATCTTCTTAATTTGGCATTATAAATCTACAATCTCATTTGGCTACTTATTCATTCAAACTGAGTGTGAACACTAAGATTAATGATACATAAATTGTCCAGCAGTGGATAATGTGTACTGTTTATGTACCAATTATTTGGTCTGGGATCAATGTAGGACTGGAAGGACTCTTCATATTCTGCTACACACAGAAATCAAAGATTGTTTTCTCTGCACTTGTACGGATGTTTTCACTTTCTTTCAGCCTTCGTCAAGAGCGAACGGTCAAAAAGCTTTTCAAATCTCGAGATAAAGGTGAATATTTCAGTCCTTAATATTTCTGACTACAGTGTACTAGTGGGAGGTTTCAAATCTTGACCCCCTTGTTTTTTGCCCATTTTCAGCTTCATCTTCAAAGTCGTAGAGCTAGAATCCCTGGTCGAGTTTGGGCGGCCTGTTCTTGACACATTTCTTGTTCTTGCACTTGTATGGCGGGAACACAACCCAAGAATACTATTCCCGGAACAGGATCACACACCACCTCCAAGATGGCTTACAAAGCCGGAGACAATGGGAATTTTTGGCAAATTAACAAAAATAATTTTCCATAACAGAAATAAATGTTCCTTTTTAAATAGTACAGAATTCAGCCCAGCTCCAAACATTTACCCTCAAAGAACGTACATGGACGCCGCCATGTTGCATGTTGCTTGCCACTAACTTTTAGCGATAACTGGTTGTATATTCCCAGCGTCGGGCCAACTCACGACCAACAAATCATAAGAGAATGAGAACAAGCCACCCGAACTCAGCCCCTGGGTTCAGACCCTGTGACACAGTGAAGCTTCTCTTTTTTTCTGCCACGTGGTTTCGACAGTAACCATTTGAAACTAGTTGTGGAGATCAAGATGAAGCCAAAGACTAGAGCCTAAAAGGTTGCCAAGGCAGTCAATGACTGGGTACTCTGAGGTGGAGTTTGAGCAATGAACACCTGTTGAATACCAGCACCTTGCCTCTGGTACCCCTAGGTACAAAATATCTCCAGGGTACCAGGCAACAATTGACCAGCGGTTGACAGATGGTTGACTCAAACTCCACCCCCCCCCTCAGTTTTAGTCCCGCTTTAGTCATGTTGGATCTCATGGTGGCTAGTAAGCTTGACACTGAAGCTGGTGGGTTTTACAGTGAGCATACTTCTTGCGCTGACAACTGTTGTGTTCTATTGCATTAAGCAGGACGTCGAGACAAAATTCTTGGGAGGGGAGAAGGGCTTGTCAAGTTTCTCTCTTTAAGTGACTTTCTTCTTTCTCCGTTATTTCTTCCTCGTGATTAGTTCAAGCGCGGGGCAGACCCAACCCTCAAGTTCCTGAACGAGAACCAGAAGGTGGAGGAAACCCTGAGCATCGAGAGATGGAACACGGACACTGTGGAAGAATTCCTACAGGAACGCCTCCTGCCCTAGACCAAAATCACAGTCCATAAGGCCATGCAGAAAAAGATTCTTGTTTCCTGGTCCCTTTCTCAAGAAAGTCTGGCATACCTGCCAATTAGAAATACTAATCATTGTAATGTTTTGATTTGTAAAAGCAGCACAGGTGACCATTAATCCATATGCCACTTTTTTTTTCTTTGCATGGCCTTAGGGACCAGCAAGTGTAACTCAACGTTGTGAGACACTTTTATGAAGGCGTTGTGCTAAACCCTGACCGGGGCACAGCACCTGATGCGTAGTGTGTCACGACAGAATTCTACATCTGTGTAACAAGAAGTCTTGGTGTTTTGTTCAATACTTGGTGCAACGCAGCACAATGCAGTGCAGTTTGAAAAGTGGCCGTCTTGACATTTGTTCCCTTTAAAATCCCTGATACTATTTCTGTTCTTAACCTTACGCAAACCCATTTCCCACAACTTCCACACCTAGATTCCAGGATTTTAAGGGACTTGGGACTGAACAAGCCCAGCCACTGTTAGGTTAGATGTCTCTATTTTGAGCACAAAAAGTATGCCATTAATTTCTTACAGTGACAGATTCTGAGATTTCAAACTTCCTCCGAGAAACAAGTGACATACCTAGTGAAAAGCATTTCCATTTTTTAAGCACTTCCTCCTAACCAAGATATACGTTGTACTTAGAGGCAAAATTATGTGTGAATAAGCCTTTTGCGAGTTGAATTTGAATAACATCTGGTACACCGAGTCTACATTCACATGAACATAATTTAATTCTCCATACTAGACACTCTTGCTTTTACCTCGTGATTCGGGGCAGGCTTTTGCTTAGCTACATAAGAGATGCCTTGCACCAATACACCGTTTTCAATGTGTAAGAAGGGCACAAAGAGATCAGTCCATTCACGAGATGGTTGCTATGGAAAAGCTTGCCCGAATCATGAGGTATAGCAACAGTGTCTTTGGTCTGGGGAATTCAGATTGTTGTATGTGCTATCAGATAATTCAGTGTACCAGATTTTATGCAAATTTAACTCACAAAAGGCTTATTATTTCAAATGGCTTTTCTTCCATGTTTGTTCACATCTGTTCACATTACAGTCTGGCTGTAATTTATCATAAATTCCTACTTGGATACAATAAAAGACACAATGACTGGCAGTACTCGTTTCAGGTTTCCAATCTTGTCTTTTCCTCTCGTTTATTTCTTTCAACAGAATTACTCTTACAATACACCATACTGTCAGCTGCCATATTTAACTTTTCCAACGCTTAACCAAAATGTAAACCAAAAGAGAAATAATTATATACACTCACAGTCACACAAAAATTTTTGAATCGGGCCATCAAGAAAATAAACCAGGCCAACCATTAGCAGTTACTGATGACAGGACACATTTTTAGTAGAGCTAATTGGAGTGGAACAAGGAGTACTTTTTTAACTGTCCGATGGTAAAGCAACTCGGTTCAGTTTTCGTTAGTAATCTCTATGTGCCCGTCAACATCAGTGAACTGGTCTACTACACTGTAGCACACAGCTGTAATTCTCACTGGATCACCATTGAAACTGATAAGTATCTCAATGGCATTTTCATAAACCTCTGGGAACCAGTGACTAAAGTAAGGTGGGATTTTCAAGTCTTGAACAATATGTCTTCAGAGTTGGACTATTTCAAGTCTACATACCTGAAATCAACGCAAACTGTTCTTTTCTATTTTTGTCCGCAATGTCACCATGTTATTCGGGAAATACCATTTAGCATTACCAACTGGAGGTACAGGAAGTTCTCCAAAAAGTTACGAATCGACATAATACCCTGATACAAGTCACAATATAGCACACAGATTTTCTTGTTACATGCCCAATAATACCATTCCAGTCCAGGGATCTCGGGGGGACAAGGGTGCTCACCAGAAAAAAAAATTTGAACCATTAAAGGAGAAAAAAACAAAGAAATGAAAATCACCAATTAATTTGCTTGAAAAACTCAAATTTGACCCCTCCGGTCCACCATTTATCATTTTAGCTTACGAAAGCTCTGCCCCCTGGGAAAACAGTGGCCCCCCCATGTTCCAGGGACTGCTCGACCCATAAATGACTTTTTATCCAAATTTTAAAAATTAACCAAATTCACATACACAACATTCTGTCATTTTCCCATGTTACAAGTTAACAAAATTCATTCAATAAGTTCACGGAATTCATCCCATGTCTGTTTTTTTTTCTTCTTCTTTTTCTCTTCATTATATTTCCAATTTAAGTGTGTGGAATTGAACTTTTAACCACAAGTTATTCTAATCAAACATTGAAAAATGAACAGAAACAGTGACATCATATTTTTTTCTCCCCTGGAAATCAGCAAAAATTTAAAACCTCTGACTGCTGTCCATTTTTCAAAAATAATCATGCCATTTTCTGGCAGATGTTCTCAACTCAAAGCCTTACATGTATCTTTATTTGAACATAAACACTATGCTTTCTCATGAGAGAAACGACTGGTAAATAAAGAAAGCGAATATTACTTTTGAGCCATCCGAGACTTGACGACCCTCCAAATTTAACAACTGGTTAAAACTGCCCAGAGATCTTAGCAAGGTTCATTCAGCAAGTCAATCAAACATGCAACATCTTGAGCCAATATACAGCTCAGGCTGGAAACTGCAAAGTTCTGATCGGTATATGAACTGGAACACTATTCAACGACGTCACTGCAATAGCGCACATGTTCTTGTGCCAACATTAAAATGCACTGCAATTTCATAAACACTGGAAATTCTTAACACCAGCTTCACATTCTCCACTTCAATGCAACACTAACCCCACCCATACTTTGTCTTATTCTCTATTTACATCTGTTGGTTTCAGCTCAGTCATTAAGTTCTGCATACTTTTAGCCATCTGGACAATAAGCACTTGAAAATGTAAAAATGCAAAAACAAAATTGGCCAAAAGCTTATTAGCGGGCAGAAAGTAATGTAGTTTAATAAGTAACATGGTTTTTTGCCGTTTCATTTTAAGAAAATAAATTTTGCCTTTTAAATCTTTTGTTCTGACGGCAACACCACACTAAAAGATAGTGTACCAATTTCATAACAAGACAGCTGAATCATTTGTGGGAAAAAATGGATGCCGAGATTAAGACAGTGACACGTCATCACCTCCGTGTTTTGGTGTCCAAAACCTGTTTTCAGTGCAAATGATCAACAACTGAAGACGATATCCACTGAAGACCTCTTTAAAGGGGCTGCATGCCCTGCATTTTGCAACACAGAATCCTAGTACACTCACACTCATTAAAAAACCAAAATTAAGCAAACAAAAACTCAACCGTACCGTTAATGAGCGCAAAGACAGACAGCAATGCTATAATGGCCTCATTTTTGGGTAAAAGAACTGACATGCTTGCCAGACAAACTGCAAAAACCAACGTAATGTATTTTAATATTTCTGTGAAAAAATAAGTGTGAAAGTATACGTTACTTATGTGTCTGACACAAGCCAAATTCACGAGCTTTTCCACAGAGGCTATAATAAGTATTGATCAGATCTTTTTAGAAATTGGTAGCCGGACTATAGCACAGTAATACCTCTGGTTGGTAGCCCACTTCATTTTTGCTTACCAAACAAAACCGTTCTATTTACGTGTGCCTGCTTTTGTAACAATACATGTAACACACACATACATATGTTATCTGCACTCCTCTAACATGTATGGGTGTACATTAACATGTAAGTTGGCTATGGTTCAAAGCTTTTATCACAGACTTTTCTCCCTTTCATTCCAAACAAATGTGGAATGGATAAACAAAAAGATTTCACGTTAAGTTACGACGTCCTCCACCTTTTTCTGTGTTTAAATTCCGTGCCTACATAAAAACATCACATGGGTATACATGTACTTGTGCAATATTTGGTTTAAGTTTCATAAAATGGACTATACTCCCAACTCTTTAGTGACTGGGTTTTTTTTTTTAAGTTGTGCACACCGGTAGGGTTTAAGGTGGCGATTCTAAAGGGTATGTCTTGCAGTGGCATTGCCCCTCCCCCTTTCTCGAGACAAGTAGCTTGCTTAAATAAAAAAAATTGGGCGTCAGTTTTGGTAGAAAACAATTTCTCTTGTAGCACCAACCCCCCCCCACGCAAGACCTGGAAATGCCACTGGTTCGCCGTACTGACACATTTCACTGCACACTCTGATGCGGGGAGGAGCCAGACTATCTTGCTTCAGTGAGCTAGTTTGGTATTTGAACAGAGCATGCCCACGTTTGAAGTACTTTCGAGGTTATTCAAGGATCAGCAATATGCCCGTGCGAGATCAGCAACATCAGCGCTGCCACACGCCCCCCCTCGCACGCATGCGTTGTTCTCAAGTGGACTTGCCTTTTCCCCCAATTACCAAACTTGGCTCATTTGCTGGTCTGGCCTCACTTTGAAAATCAAAATAAAGGCGGCTCAACTGATAATTCATAAGTTGGAACTACCTATCGGATCACAAAGATGGTAACCGTAATCCGTTATTTGCATCTACAGCATTATTTTAACACATTACGATTTTAGACAAGTTTTTCACAAGGACTGCCTCGCTTTCAATGCAAGATGGCCAACTCTAGAATAAGGCTAATAACGGTGTATGGTGGCAGTAATGGTGGCACATTAGCTGTACAAACACAAGAACGTTTACACACATACTGTTTGGACCTTCACGTAGGAATGTCTGCAGACATCTTAGGAGGGGTCTGAAAATCTTACAATTAATGAGAGAACGGACTCCATTACTTCTTGCAGGAAAAATACAATTCTTGCAATAAGGGCGTGTCACACTACCACGCCTCCAAGAGATTGCAATGTGTTGGCTGATCACAATACCCAATGCGTGTTTGGAAAGAGTCAACAGATTTTGCGCATTGTGATTAGCCAACACGTTGTAAACTCGTAGAGGCGCCCTATTGTGAATCTCTCATATTGGTTGCAACTATGAAGGGCCAAGTACAAAGTAATCCACTGACTGGTAATACAAACAATTCACTTCTGGAAATAGTCGACACTTTTTAATACAAGCGTGAAACGCGTAATTTTTCTCTTTGAAAATATATAAATATGTACAATTTTATTTAATTTTTTTGTCTCATTTTTACCTAGGTACCATCAAATGCATGTTATTTTGGTGCCACATTTACTTTGGTTTCACAAATAAATGTTTTGTAATTTTACAACTGAGCCCTGGTGCTTTCATTTCTTAAATTCTTTAAAACAAGGTGATTTCAGATTTAACTTCCAATTACATTTGGCTGGAATCAACAACGTTCTGATTCTCTTAAAAAAATAAATTCTGGGGAATTCCAAACATGGCAGATTTGTGAATGGCCAAAGGTGTCGACTGAAAGGGTAGCATTAGTCTTGATTCAAGCCTCATTTCTCGAGCTCTTGCTCCTGATGCTGCATACCACAGTTCACATCAGATACACAGGATGTTGAAAGTGTGGTTCAACAATGGCTCGTGATTTCCAGAATTCCAGTCTCATGACAGTGGACACGTTGGCCTCTTCTCTTTCCTTGAATGCAGGACAACCGATGATATTTCTTTTTTGTGAGTGTCATTTCACAAAAAACTCCCCATTGTTGGTCACGCCACCTGCTCCAAATAAATGAACTAACTGCAAAGGGGCTGGAGTACACTGGGAATCTACACCAAACTGCAGTCTGGAATAAAGACTACATCATAATCCAGATATTTTCTGGTAGGTGGCTCACCACCTAATCCTAGAGACACTGTACTCACAAGATTGCGCCATATTATGTCTCATTCCAGTGCCATACACAAAAATGCCAAATTCAGACTTGCCCCTGACAGCATAGTACTCATCCTAGAATGAAATATGTGTCAATTACATATTTCTTTTTGACGGAAAAAAAAATGCAATGCCATGCTCTTTTGTGCCTTTTGGACACTCATATTCACAGTTGTGAGTTCAAAGACATTAGGGCTAATAATAATAACACTAGGAAGTACGAGTTAACGTACATGTGGTTCTCTCTCCATGGAAGATTCTGAACTGTGAAAGCAGCACTCTGCAACTACACTCACATGTGAGTGACAACCTGCCATTTAAACCAGCCAACAGAGTTATTTTGGCACTGGCTGAGGGTTCACAGATCCGAAACCCAATGCTCACAAGACAGCTAGCTGACAAACTGGATCAGGCGGGCTAGTCAGAAGACTGGCTCCTGCCTCCACATTTCTTTAATACTGGGACTGCAAACTACCAACGACTCCTGTAAACGTTTTATACCTATCCAACTCGACGCTTGTAAAAGTTAGTATCTGATCCTAATTTAACTATGCACACTCCCTCGGCAAAGAAAAAAACAATTTGAAATTGCATTTCCATTGCTTTAAACTCAAAATAATCTACCCACTAATCACCAGTTAAGGACAAGCATCTGTCTCATAAACGTTCCATGATTGGGTGGAGTATCCACCACCCAAACTGGAATTCACTTCTTTCCCAAGTGCCCACTTGTTTCCTCTTGCCACGCTGGAACACAGCAGCTGTATTTAAAGTTCACAAGCACAACATTAATTTCAAAGCTCCACAACACCACTAGTACCCAGGAACTTTCTGCTACAGTTCTATAGAGTTGCCTACACAAAGTAATTTCATCTTGCACTGCACACACCCAACACCTCTCACTACAAGAGACAAATTTTTCTCCACAGCAAACTGCACCTTGATGTCTCCTGGAAAGCTGTGACATACATGTCAATCAGTGTTAACCACTTGCCGCCGGGGATTCCCGTTTCGGGCACCAAGTCTTTATACGAGTGGCCTGGGTCTCGGAAATTGGACAAGAGGAACTGGGCCTTGTATCAAAAGACCGTTCTCGGAACAGCCTTGTTTTGAAACCGTATACCATGGTTTGGGGCATTTAGTGCAAGCCGAGTACCACCGGGGACGAAAGCGCTCCACCACCGCAGCGGTGAGCCACACAGCACCGCTGCATGCTAATCTGGCCCCTATTGAAAAGAGGTCAGCAGTGAACTGAGCCAGGTTCGTGAACAAAAGACAGCTGTATAACACCGCACAATCTGGGCTCTGTTTACAAGGCTGCAGGCCTGGCTGAAAGACAGTAATTCATGTGGGTGCAAACGTCCATTAACTGAAATGATGAATTTTTGAAGAATTTGAAAAATCTGAAAATCTTGAAAAAGTCCCGATTATGTGCACTGCATTTTTCGAAACCCCGGCAGCAAGTGGTTAACTGTATCAGGTTCAAGTTGTACAAGTACATATTTTCTATGATCATCCCTAAACATGTACGTGTAAGCAAGAGACAAAAAAACAACTTGCAAGAGCTAGAACAAAATGCAAGTTTTGTGCGCCTAGATAATTTATTTTGTGTGAAATTTTTCATTAGTATTAAACTAGACGGAATCTTCAAAATCAGTAGATTTTTGCTTCGAAAACTAGTTTTTGTTTGATAGAAAAATGCACTGGACTAAAGTCTTAAATTTTCAAGGTATTCAACAATCAGTTAATGCCTCAGCAGTCGCAAGACAGGTGCACAGACCAACATGATAATTTCAACTACTTCTGAAAAATATATATGTGAGTCCTCTATGTCAAAGTAATGCCAAAGTTCAACTCTGACAATACTGCCCCAATAAAGACAGACATGTATAGTGCCTTTAGTCACTACAGATTTCAATAATGAAGTGTTAAAGTGCACTTCGAAGCAAATGACTACGATCCTTGTTCTCCAAGAAAACGTAGCACAAAAATCTGGTTTTCACTGGTGATCAAATATCAACTTCCAATTAATATCAGAGAAAAGTTATACAAGAACAAGTGGTTTCAGACACAAATGCAAACCAATACAACAAAAGACAACGCAATTAATGATGCAAGGAGAGACAGCAGAAACATCGACATTCATACATCGACGATTGTCATAGGAAATTCAAACTGAAAAAAAAGAAAGTGTTTTTTCCCTAAATTTTCAAGTGGCTCTTTGGAATAACGTAGGGCCAGATGATGATGAGACCAAGATGACTCAATCCAGTTGGAGCCATCGTAATTTGCGTTTTTGCACGACTGACACTATGTCTGCGAGTGTGCGGGACAGCACTGTCCACACTGCGAGAAAAAAGCTTGGCATCATTAGACTTATGAAGTTGGCAAAGGAAAGAATTCACACAGTAATCGTGTGCTTATTCCTTACTCTTGCAAGCACCGCTTATTTTCAAGTTTTGCTATTACAAATGTTGCAACAGCTACTTCAAGAGACTTGTTTTCAGAAAGTGAGTTGGTTTTTGGATGTTTTGTGAGTTACACGGGCAAGTGTGGTGCCACCTACTGCGAAGTGGCTCCCTCAGACATCACCGCCCCCTCCTTGCTTTCCTCTGCCTCTTCCTCCTCGATGGACAAGGTCAGTGACCTCGGGGTGAAGGTGGGCGAGTCCTGGTTGCGCTCCCGCATCATGTGCATGGCCACTGTGTGCCACTGGTTCCCTGCCGGGTTGTAGCACTCCAGCGTGCCCAGGAAGTGCTTCCCGTTGAAGCCGCCCACCGCGTACAGCAGGCCGTCGATCACTGTCGCACCGGCGTTGACGCGGGCCTCCGACATGCTGGCCACGTTGGTCCACTCGGCTGTGTCCGGGTCAAAGCACTCAACCGTGTTCAGCACAGACTGACCATCGCTGCCCCCAAGTGCAAAGATCTTGCCTAAAGGGAGATAATTAAATTTGGCAACAGTTCATTTGAATAGCCTGTGAATTGGCTTAAAACCGATTGACTTGTGATGGACTTACGGGGACTTGCAACGGACTCAAATACAACACTGCCACAAGCAAATCTGGTCAGCCATTATGAAAACCTATCATTCGGGCTACATCTGGAGCTATTCTGGCGCCCTCTTTCAACCCCTAACTCACCATTGTAAGTGCAGACAGCAGCGCCTCTTCTACTGGTGCTGAGGGGCGTGGTCAGGCCCCATGTGTTGCTCTTGGGGTCGTACACCTCCACCGAATTGTGGCAATTCCAATTACTGGACCCGCCCACCGCAAAGATCTTACCATTTAAGGAACACACGCCCACCTGTGCTCTTCCTGCAAGGCGAGAGAGATGAAGATGTGATTAAGTCACTGGGTACAACCAGCTATTTTACAAATAAATTTCATCTTATTCTACAGATGAAACAGTACCAAGTTACAGCAAACTCCGAACTGAAATTTAAACACCACAGCTCTGAACTCAACTTACTTTGGTTCATTTTGCTGATTGATATCCAGACATTTGTGTCAGGGTGGTAGACATCGCAAGAACGGAGACCGACGTTGCCACTTGATCCACCGACCACATACAATCTGCCATCCAGAACAGCAGCACCTGCATTAACAGATGACAACTTCAGTCAGCAACACTTCACAACGTAGCCATCGTCTGGTCAGCAAACCAGCTAGTGCTGGCTACTCCTGGCCAACAACTGACCAACAGCTGCACTCTCTCCTAGTCAGCAGCAAGCAATGTATTCATATGATATGGCAATACTTAGCAAAACTCAGCACTATTGCCAGGCTAGCAGCCAATTTGCACTACCTACCACAGGCCAGGAACTGGCCAACAGTTGGTCAGCTGTCAGGAGCAAGCCTTAACTCTGGCCAAAGGCCTAAAATTAACCCCAAGATGTCAGCCATCCTTGGATAGCCACTAGCAGGCAGCAGACCAACGAGCTGGCGAACATCTTCCAAGTCTGCCATATTGTTGGCTCAGCAGCTCCATGACACAGAACCCTGAATTTGTCTCCTTTGACACTGTGGCTGACCATGGCCAGTTGGTAGCTATCAGTCAATCACGGGCAGCAAATACGGTGGCTAGTATTCACCGACAAACTTCCAAAAAGCAATTTTTACAAGTTCTCTCACCTGAATTCGGTCTTTCCTGGGGCATGTCTGCCACCCAAGACCACTCGTCCGTCTCAGGGTCATACACCTCGCATGTTCGGAGATCCATGTGGCCATCCGAACCGCCGGCCGCGTAGAGCTTGCGGCCAATGACGCCAAACTCAAATCGGGCCCGCTGGGTCTGCATGGGGGCGATCTTGTCCATGGTGTTGGTGTGGGGGTCGTACATCTCCACTGACTGGTGACATTCGTCCCGGTTGAAGCCGCCTGGTTGGTTTACGTCAGAAGATGAGACCGCAAGTTAATAGCAGGTTGTGAAATTCTTGTGTAAAATGCACAGATCCCCTACCTGCGCCCACATTTAACAGCTGACCTGCTCTGCAAAAACAAGGGCTTAAAACTGGAAATGAAATCTCATGACTGAAAGAACATCTCAAACTTCTGTGGTCGTGGTTCCAATAGTCTGTACAAAGGAGACAAGGACAAGGCTTACGGACAAGGACCACATCAGAAAATACAAGAGGAAATGAGGCTGGATACTAAATACTTTGAAACTCCATCATTCCAAATCTTGAAGTTGTGTCAAGGGGGTCATCTTTACTGACCCGCTGAAAACCCAATATTGCCTAGAAATTTTGCCTTACTGAGAAGAATTTAGCGGGTAACCAGTTACAAGCAACATACACTGTAGTGACATTTTGCCAGTAAGCTGTTGTTGGTTCATTGGTTCATTCAGATGCTTCATGACATCATGATCAGGGCACTGAACTTCTATTCTAGAACCAAACAATTGAAAGACATTTACAACCTTGACTGGCTCAAAGGATGAAACTTTAAGCAGAAGTGGCATTCTGAAAGATTCAGCTTTAGCCCAGTACCAAATTCTGTATGGAATCTTACAATTTGGGCCTCAAGCTGGACCAAGAGAGGGTGCTATTTTCTCAGCAATGGAGGTTTCTTTGGTCGAAGTGAACTTCACTGGTTCACAAACAACTAGGAAATGCACACATTATGGTCGCTTCACCTCCGACAAATTGAAAACTAAAGACCAACATAGCTCTTTTCAACCGATAACTGGGGTCAAAATTAACGGTGGTCCGCTGGCCCGGGGCCACCGAAATATTCATCGGGCCACTGCATTCTCCAAAACGATGGCCCAGCTGGACAGTGGTCATTTGAGGAGCATTGCCATGTTTTCAAACTTTCATCACTTTTCACGACTCCTGAATCAAATCATCAGCTCAGCGCTTACGAGTTCACGACCCGAGTGGTGATTTGTTGGCCGGTACCATTTTCTAACGATGCTACTTTAACGTTATCTCTCATGGACAACAATTTAACCTCTGCAGGTCGTGTCGCGTCAAGTCCGCATCGGGCTGATCATCAAGTGTGAGCAAAACAACCTCGACAACAGATCAAGTTCTGGGAATTAACTTGTACAAATCTTCCTTTGACTTTTTTTTGATGTGCAGCTGCAGAATTGCATGTGTGTACGGTGAATCGTATAACACTATTTTGACCGGGATGTGTGGACTGGTGGCTACGTTATCATCATGTCTTCTTTGGCACTGGCATGGCACAATGGGAACCAGTGAAGCCTTGCTTCTATGAATCAAGCAATATTGCATGTGTGTTTTCACCACTGTGATAGCGAAATGCAAAGGGAACTTGTGAAAGTAATGCAACTTTCTTTCCAAACGTTGCAAATGTAAGCAGGCAAACAAACAATACAAGCTTTTAGATATGACAAAATTGTTGAGAGGTGTTTTGTGAAGACAGGAGTTTCTTCGTTTTTTAAAAATTTTTAAATGTTTTTCAAATTTACCGATATAAATTTTACGGTAGCGCCAAAAATTTAGGATCAGTCGCATAGCTAGAAGCAGAACTAGTATTTTGGCCTCAAAAGTATATTTCAATCCAGCCAGGCTAGACAATCAGCTATTTGGTATAGAAGTTCGACTGAAGCCAACGAACATGTGTGGTTGATTTCAGTACATGTACTCAACCTGGGCCACCAAATTTTTGCGAGGGCCAGTGCGATGCACTTCCCACTGGGCCACCAAGAGATTGAAGTTAATTTTGACCCCTGCGATAAGGGGTGCTTCTGCTCGAAACATGGGCAAGACCATATAGTCAGCAGTCTCTCACAGAATAAAACTCACCCGCTGCGACTAGTTTCCCGTCCAACTTGGCCACCCCGACTGCACACCTGGGCTGTTCTAAAGTAGCCAGGGAGGGGTGTATCCCCTCACTCTCGATGGAGAAAGACCTCTTGGGAGTGGGGCTGCTGACCTTGGGGCTGCTTGGCTTCTCATACAGCATGATGACAAAGAGGCTACCACCAAGGATGGTAATGGCGATGTAGCGATTGGCTGTGGATGAAACAAATTACCAGCTGATGCTATGCTGAATATTCAATAACTGAATATTTGCATACATGTACTTACATTTGAAAAGGAACAGTTCCAGTGATTTCACTGGGACTCAGGAAAATAAATCACCAGGAAGGGCATGGACCACTGTCCTGAAACGCGGTGATTTAGGTGACCACACAAACGTGCATGTTTTATTTCTTCTCTGAAGTGAGGCACTACTTAGTCCTGACCTCCCATTTCTGTTGATGCGACAATCTTCCACTTCTCGATCCGCGACCGGGCCTTGGTCAGGTCCTCCGGTGACAGCACCAGCCTCCGGGCGGGGCCATTGGGGTTGTTGTTGTTGTTGCCACCGTTCCTGTTGTTGCTGCTATTGGGCCCGTCGCCGTTGCTCACGCCGTTGGTGACTTTGGCCGGAGAGATGAGCGGGCAGCGCTTGGCGTCCAGCTTGTAGTTCTTGATCAGGTCCGGCTCAATCTCACCAAACTCCTCCACGTCCTTCAAAGTGTTGTTTTCCGATAGGAGCAGAGTCTGGGGCTGAGAGAGAGGGGGGGGAATAAAACTTGATATGCATAACTAAGGACTGGTTCATACTCGCAACGTTTGCACACACGCAGCGTGTAATGTGAACGAAATGTGACGTTCACACTTTCGTCGTTTCTCAAGTCTCGGCTGTGTGTGCGTATCCGACAAAAGTTAAAATATTTCGATTTTTCCGAATACGCATACATTTCGTGCATATGCACAATCCATTACTTTCACAAACTGCAAGCAAGGGCGCGTGTTTTCATTACGCACTGCGCTTTCCTTCAAAAACTGCCGACACCTCAAAATAGACCTTGGTGCTGTGTACACAGTGAATACACGGTGAGTTACTAACCGGCCTTAAGAGCTCACTATTAAACACATTATTAAACAACCTTTCACCAGGCATACTAGGAGCTGTCATAAAATATTTCATGAGCCGCCATGTGGAATCTGCAGAACTCTGTTGCTAACAAAGAGAATATTGATTACACTTGTAGTAATGAAATTACTGTTATCATTATAGATCTCTGGTTGTAAACAAGTTTCCTAACATTCAAGTCACATGTCTACTGCACGACTTGTCAGTCACTTTCATCTTGATTTGGACAGAAAAGTTGAATGATCATATAATGTTTAATGTCCAACATCCAACCACTATTTCACTGTTCTATAAAGCTCGCAGCTTGAGAGCTTACAGCAATGTCAGCATTTGCCAATGTCAATGGGCATCAAGTGTACCAATTTAGACAAGTCTCAAATACCATCAGCTCAGCCTGTTTTGTGGATCATGGTATTGCTATCTGGAGACAAGGCGCTATGCAGAAATTATTTTCCTCTATGAGAAACAAATAGGTCTATCTGGTCACACTCGGCTGCTAGTTGCTTGACATTGATGGAAGAATTTGTCTACAGCTAAGGGGGGCAAATCCAATATGAATCACCGTCCACCCCCAACTAACCTCCTGCTGAAGATCTTCCAGTTGCTTGCCGCATTTGATAGTTCGGCGAATCCAGTCCAGGGCCGTCTCAAACAGCTGTCGGTCACTCATTTTGGATACGAACTTGGTGGCCACGACCTCAATCTACATGACAATGTCATATGAAGTACGGCATTTTATGAAACAAGCATGCGAGCAAAAACTGAAGTTAAAATAGATAAAAATCAATAATTCTAAGAGCAGGGGACACTATAAGGAACACCAGATTTCAATATAAGAGGGGCTGGAAACAGGTATTCTATTGTCACTTGTTTACTGCAAAATACACCAGAAAGTCTTTTCGATAATTACCTCATTGTTCATGGATTTCATGTGAATAAAACCAATTCAAAACAAATAAAAAAAATTTTTTTAAATACATTAGGAATCACATGGAAAATACTGTTTAGTAATCCTCATCAGTTTGGAATGCTCCAATTTCAACATATTTTTATTCACTGTGGGGGATTCGTTCCATTATTATAAAGAAAACACCAGAGTGCGATATGAGGGAAAAAAATGGATATGAACAAGTCAAGGGTGTTGACAACCCACCGAGAAAAAAACATGAGATCCCACGACTGTGGCATTATGGTTTGATGAGCAAACTGCCATTATTTAATGATAAGATATTGAAATACATACAGCAAACAATCTTCCATTAAATTCAACGCTAATGATACCAATATCGACTGATCAAGAGGGGATGAATGCATATGAAAAGGGTATGCAGAGCGACGGGTACTAGAGATTTCACACACATCGATTAAAGATACAGATAGGGGTACATGCATCCAAGTTGGGTGAAACAAATAACAAACACGGGATGGAGTGATGATTCTTCTGTGTAAAACAAACCTTATTCCCATCATGGACTGAAGCGTTACACATCGCGGGGACCAGACCCGATATGCACTGCGCAACAGGCTTCTTGGGATTACCAAGAGCAATCCATAAACCTAAGTTGAAAGTTCACACATACAGTACTGCTCAAGCTATTGCACCGACCAGCTTCTTTTGGACAAACGTGCCCATGCACCCACTTGCCGTTTGTCATCCACAAGGCATAAACAAATTTCAGGTTGAAACATTCAAGTGCATCCAAATGTGTTCATTTAAAGGAAGCGTGTCAGTTTGTCCGAATTTTCTGCACCCATGAAATATGAACTTGCTACAGAACTGTCCATAGAGCAAACATGTAGAATTCACTTGCCGTGCAGTGGAAACCTTGCACTGATTAATGATGCAGTTTTCGGGTTCGTTTGAAATCCTCTCATCTGCTTTTGATTGATACCATCTGTTGCTCCCGAATTAACCCACGTCAAATAAATAAACCAGATGAGTCTCCATGGCAACACGCAGCAGAGCAGCAAGGAGATCGCTGAAGAAAACACCTCAATCTATTTTTGTCGCACCGACGTGAACGACATAATCCAGACAAATAACGTTTCAATTACAGAACGCGCGACATTACCAGACTTGAGTCGCAAAATTGGAACGGTAGCTTATTTCTCAAACTGCTATGCCACATGGGCATAAAATAACAGCTGCGATTATTCCAGGATTCAAAATGTCAGGCCTGCCTTCAACAAACAATCTGCAGCCATTTGGGAAGTTGACACAAAAGAGGCACAAGGGATGAAAAATATAAAAGCTGGTAACGGGCATGGTAAAGGAGACGCAGTGAAAGAAAATTAACACACTGAGGAACATTTAGCAAAGGAGCTCTAAGGCATGAATTTATACCTGTAACCGAGGCAACTCCTGAAATTCATTTGTCAAAGCAACGCTGTCAATGTTCTTTTTCAGGAAGTCATCCACAATGGAGAGAAATTCCACATCTTCCTCTTCACTTGCAAAGGAACGCAGTTCTGGAAAGCAAGAACAAAAAAATTAATTAACACAGCATCGTAATGACATTAGGCACTACATAGATGTTTCTAAATAAGTTTTCCCACTTTGGGGAAAAAAAGACCTTCCTTCTTTTACATCCAAGTCTTCCTAATTTACGAGAACATCACTACAGAAGACCGAGTATTTTGAGATAAAGAACAAATTGTGATGTCTAGGGAATAATGCACTCTTTTGTGGAATTAGCACAAAAGGAGCGCTTACAGGTATTTCAACACTTCACAAATAAATGTATGCACTGCTAAATGGCTTTCCATTCCCAAATCACATCGACCAAACAGCACAATATTTCAGAAGTTTAGCGTAAGCATAACTGAAAAGCAGTACATTAATAACAGCTTTCGTCCTCAGAAATGGCTAACCTAATTAACATTCATCATCTGCCATCTACGGAGCAAAAGCAAAGTATCATTTCCGTGTAAATACGCAAACTGGAAATTGAAAACTTGGGGTGCAGCAAACCTTACCTAGACAGTTCTTTGTACTCAGCTGCTGTACCAGGTGTCGAGCGCATGCATTCTTGACCCGGACCATCTGCCACTGTCTGGCAGCCTGATACACCGTCGCCACTTGACAGTAAGGGACCTCCAGTCTGGACCCAAAAAAAACACACCATAAATTGTCTCAGGCTAATGCAAACAGAAAAAAAAACTAAAAAAACGTCCATTTGTACTACAGTACGCCTGCTAGTCTTTAACTGAGGATATTTCGGAATTCTTGGTTTTTGTTTAAGGATCCCTGACTGCTGGCTTATGATGAATCAAGTTCTTATCAGTTCTTATGTCCGTGGGATCTGACATTTTTGCCTGAAATTTTGGGTGTAAAGGTGAAGTCCGTACAAATAAGGCACCATCTAAAATGTGAGAGAAGCCTGAGAGTAGGCAATTGAAGGGGTGCTGATATCTGTATTTATTTACAGTAACATCAAATTAAGAGGGTTTTTCTTTTTTTTTCATTTGGTCCAAACATTACTTCAAGATTCCCAAATTACTAGCAAAAAATTGCATTTAATATAATAATTTTGGGTTGTCGGCAAAAATGACTCACATAATGTTGTCAACACTGAAGTCAAACGAGCTGAGAAAAACAATTTTGGGTAAGAGTGTATGACTCCAAGACATGAAGGTGTGTTCAGTGGTGAGATGCAATCCAACACTGGTACTGCGATCCGCTCTGAGCGGAACAAAAGAGGGAGTGGTTTTTTTGGTACTCATCGCATAGGCGCGTCATGAGGCGTGCAAGTATATGCGCGTTTGTTTCTCAATCCAAGTTTTCAAAAACCAAATGAAAAAAAGAAATTGACTGATTTCCCTTGACTGAGCAAAACTAACCCCTGCGGTAATATGTATGTAAGGTGTCAAAACCTGCAGCTGAATTTCAATTATGGCTCATGAGAATTCCAAAAAGAAACTAGTCTGATATTACTGGGCGAAGTGAAATAAAAATTTCATTGGTGCCATGATCTTCTATCCATCATTTACATGTAACCTTTTATAATATTCACATGGAATCAGCAATTTTCCAGGACAGCACACATGTACCAAGACTCCAGCGCAGCAGTGCACATGGACATGCTTACGTGTGCTTTAGATCATACTTATAATGTAGGGTGTGCTCCAGTAACATACATGCACAACCTTTAACGCTGTTTTTGCATAAAAGTTATAAACAATGCATACATATTTTGCCATTACATTAACAATTCAATAACTGAAAAATGTAAAGCTTTGTTTTAAAGATTTGCAAGTACTAATGGTTGAATTTATAGTTTAAAAAGCCATTTAGAAAAAAACATTCCCCACTTAAAGTTTGATACGTAAAAAATACCAAACCTGCATTTCTACAGCCTACCGAGTTAATAGTTTTCATGCAGTTCAAGGTGCCAATGCACCAGATATTTAATAGTGACTGACTTCGCAGGCATTTTATCAGGTTTTACAAGAAACAAAACAATGTTTCAGCTAGTAGATGGTGATAATCTACTATTTGTTTTTTTCCAAGCCATACTGTTCATGCATGAACATTTATACTATCATGGAACTAATTAATCATGCATAAGTTGCAGACTACTTTTACCGTAATATCAGCAATAATGCTGGGACAAAAATAGACCACAAAAATCAGTATCGCCTGTGCTAATACAAATGTGCAAGTACTGCGCAACCAAATGCGGCCCCTGGTCATCAAAGGACCAGACATCTTTGGTTGGTACCCTGCCAACCAACCTGCCGGTGTAAGCAAAGTTGACCAGCAACTCCACAGCAGAGGGGCTGATGTTCTCCAGCAGGTGCTTGAGGGGAACACTGTGACTCTCGCCCAGCGCCTTGTAGTAGTCATACAGGTAAGGGCTGCTGCAGGCCAGCACGGCCCGATGAGCTGGTACGATGTGATTCTCGATGGACAGGTGGACGTCGGCAAACTGGTACTGCTTGCGCAGCTCATTCAGGTAGGCCATGACGGCGCCAGGCCCCGTCTCGTCCTCGTAGATCAGGGGCTGGTCCGAGACAACCGACTTCCGGTCTTCTGTTAGTTGGAGTAGACGAGAAACGGATGTGCACTAAGACTGACATTTTGAGGGGAAAAAAAGTTAAGGGGGAAAAAGCTCCTGAACTTCTCTTCGAACGTCACCATCGACTGACTCTCTCAAATGGCCCAAGGAATATCATCCAGGTTCTGTCAAGACCAAAACAGGAGAAGGTGTGAAAAGTTTGAAATTTTGTTATCCCACAACCTAAAACGGATGCATCAGTAGCATCACATGCCTGACATCGCCCCTCAAGTGGAATGCTGTTCTTGCTAAACTCTGTCTAAATTATTAGTTATTTAGCAGCAAACGAGTCCCCTGTTTTTTTTTTTTCACTTTTCATCACTTTGAACCCGGCTGGAATACCGTCAAGAGAGTCTGCTTTGAAACAAAACGAAGACCGAATTATAAATTGTGCAGCATCTGCAACTGGACTCCGATGAAGTGAAAACTCGACCCAGAACGCCTCAAAACCATCTGTAAGTCCACTATGCCATTCTACCAGCACCTACATACATGTATGGCAGTAAGTTATCCAAGCGGAAGAAAATTCATCCAAGCGTTGAAACATCAGAAAAAAAAAACAACCAGTACAAAGCTACAATTACACACAAAAAAACCATGTAGGGCAACGGCCTTATACAGTAAATAATAAAGTTGTGGGGGAGACTCTGTAATTGAGAGCTTAACACAAAATCCACATGTGAGTAGATAGGAAACACAACCATCAGAATGCCTCTTGTAAATAGAAGGAAATTTTGGAAAGATTTTGAAGTTTTCAGATCAACTCAAGATCATCAACTAATACTTTGATGAAAACACTGATGCCTACATATAGGTTTTAACAGGTGTTGATTATATCCTTTGACAAGAGCCAAGGATTAGGTTAACCTTTAGTCTGCTTATTACATAACCAGCTTTTGTCAGACCAGGATCGTCACTCTTGTTTGGTGACCTGACTTCAGTAAACTTAGGGTGCCAAACATGGCCAATGTGGCCCATTGGGCCAGCACTTATCTCCTACTTCAGCAGCACAAAACGACTGAGAATACACTGGATGTGATGCTGGTCCCCTGCAGGTTACCCTTCAGCTAACACTCCGGCTTACACTCCTCGGTGTGGCAAGAGACAAGTGGGATAAAGTGGCTTGCCCATGGACACAGTATATGGCCAGCAGCTGGATTTGAACCCCCTAACCCTCTGGTTATGAGTCATGAATCCTAATCACCAGGCCACACCTTCCTATTTCTTGAAGTCTTCTATTGCTTATTCTTTTTTCCCAGTATGTACATTGCACATACTGTATGTTCTCTGAAGTCTTCCCAGTTTAACTCAGTCTCCTGACATTTCAGCCAAAGATATTTCCAGAAATTAAAATTCCTTGCACGTGTGAGCTATCCTGATTAAAGCTTGCTCTCCCAGGAGACGAAGAGGTTCACTGCCAAGTCTGTTAGTTACCATGGCAACGGGGAGGGCTATTAAAGAAGACATGTCTAATGAGGCAGAAACACCAGGCAGCTCAATGTCTGATTGCATGTGGGGGACTTCAACATCATGAGTCGCCTATTTTCAAGTTTCTCCTCATAAGCAAACAAACTGACCTTAAAATTTCACTTACATGCATAAGAAAAAAAAAACAGATGCCCGTCACAGTAGCTTGCTGGGTTACTGAAATTAATTTGCATACACGCATGTATTAAATAAAATGTTCAGAAGGGGAAGTGCCAAAATTGGAGAAAAATCTGTTTGAACAGATTTTGTTTCCCATGAAGATAAAATTATTGCCAATCAACATGTGAAAGTGTAGTAACTAATATCAGGCAAACATTAATAACCATTTTTTTTGAAGATGCAGTTAAAACATGAACACTAAAGCACTTGTACAATACAGTGTAGACAGAGCTAATCTGTGCATGAACGCACGTACATGTATATGTACAGTGTACATTTACTGGTACAAGGAAGAAAATGTACATGAATGCGATGGAGTACATGTACAGTGAATGCACACTACTGGGCGTCTAGCAATGGCATAGAGATGTGTGTGCACTAGGGACACCTACATATATGAACATGTTTACCCAGCGTGTACAAACGGAGATAAGGCTCAATCTCACTAATGTTAATATGACATGGTCATGGCCATCGCAGGCTGCATCTCTTTGATATTGATTAGTGTTTGGGGGAATTAAGGAGCTGGCAAGATCGACAATGTGATGCGGATGGAAGGGAGCAGATTAATTTCATCAGACCATCTGTGCCAGTCAAACGAACGGTGATGAGTAATGACAAAAAAGGCACATGGATTTGTGCAACGTATTTGTACACGTGAAGGATTTACTCATGCAGATCTTAATACGTGCACATAAAAGCAATGTTTTTTTCTCTCAAAACTCCACTTTTTTCTTACATTCTTTACCCCTTTCATCCTTTTTGTTATATGTGGAGGGAGAAGAAATCTTTGCTAAATAGTTAAAAACAAGTACAATGTTAAATTCTTCAGATCTCTCACTTAACGAACTTAAATGTAATATAAATGTAACTTACCAACAATATAACCGAAACACAAACACATTCTAGGCAGATTTTAAGAGAACCCTTTAAAATTTTACGTAAAATTTTATTGACCAGACGGTAAAAACCTGGTGCAAACGTTGGGCATTGTTGGTACGAAGGGGGAAAAAAATTGCAGGGGGATGGGGAGAGAGGAAATCAGATCAGGCAGACATCAAGGAAATCATGGCAGTACAGTCAGCCATCAACATGCTGTGGCGGCCATCTTGGAAAACTGTGGGCAAGTTTGTTTTCCCTGAATGAAGGGGGGGGAGGAAAAGAAAAAGAAAAATTGCTTCGTGGCTTGGAAGAAATCACTGATTGAGCAGCCGATTTCACACCCTCCAGCCAGTTTTAGGAATCAGCCAGCCATCCAATATGCAGCTGAAGCCATCTTGGAAAATTCTTCCAAACTAACCAGGTTATTTTCACAAAAGAAAAAAAAAGGGGGAGGAACACATGGAAAGCTACTGATTAGGAAGCCAATTGATTCACTCAAACCTGCTTTTTTTTTTTTTTAGGAATCAACCAGCCATCAAATGGACAGTGGCAGCCATCTTGGAAAACGCATATGCACCTGTACCTCTGTATACCATCCTTCCAAATTGCCGAAAAACAGCGTAGCAGAGAGACAAAGGAAAAAAAAAAGAGACAGGGAAAAAAAAATAAATAAAGACACACCATGGGATCTCTTGGACTGCGTTGCATATGTGATGCCGTTATTTGTTCTGGGTGGCATGGCGCCATTCTCCTCTGGATACGAAAATGCTGCCATTCCTGCAAAGATTAAAGAAAAACACTCGATAAGAACGCACAAACCAAAGTGAAAAAAGAACAGAGTGCGGCTGGTATTTTACGCAGGGAGATTTGGGGAAAATTAGACCGATCGGAGTCGACTATGGTACTCGTACATCATGGAAAACTGACTGCGGCAACCACTCTTGTACTGTGAAATACATCCATTAGCCAGATCTGAAATAACAGTCACTGGAATAATGGCAGGAGGAAAATGACGAGGAATGCAACTGCTCAATAAATCTCCTTGGAATAATCAACATTGATGACTTTTTAACCACCCTCAACCATTTTCAGTGCTCTGTCCTCACATACACTGTAGGCAGTGTAGAAAGGGAAGGCTGAAAAGAGAAAAGATCAATAACGAAAGAAAAAATCAAGCCATAAATTTCAATAAACAAGCAACACGCACCGGACATTTCTGAACATGTCAAATCCTTTGAATGACACATGAAACTCTCATGACACAAGCGTGCACGACTGCTCATGCCAACATACCGTTCAGCTGATTTGGAATGCACGTTACTAGGCTATTTGCATTCAACATGAAAACCAAATTAGCATTTTCTTTTCGGTCAATATCACAATTCAACAGCATTTCTTAATCTTCAGCTTAAGGTAAATGCGTATTCCTGGGGTGTGTGAAAGAGTACTAACATATGAGACGAAAATCGAGTATTGAGATGCATTTTTCTGGTGACATAAGGCACATTCAGATTGTAAATATAAGGTACGTGAACACATGGAAAGTTAAAAATACATGTGTCGGCACTGTAACGTAAGTACAATCATTGTTTTAATTTTTTAATATGTAGCATCAATTACATGCTTGCTTTGTGTCGGTATTTGATGCAGATTGCCCTTTGAGCATTCACAAGCTTACATGATAACCAACATACCGGTACCGGTGCATACTCGTAAGGGCAGGTCCACACTAATGGGTACACTTGGCTGCAAGTTTGGTATTTGAGAGAGGGACACTAGAGGATACACCAAAGCAAGATGTTTTGTTCAGATTTTTTTCCCTCCTGTACATTCCAAGGTTTGCATATTGATAACCTGTGAAAAATACACAGGACTTTCTCAGAAAATGCAGGGATTGTGGAAAATAATTACAAACATGCATGTACATGTAATATGGACAGAAATTTGGCCATAAATTGACAGGGTGCTTATTATCAAGCGCATGAATTTACTCAAATATCGTCTCACTTATAGGATTGTTAAAGGCTATAATAACCACAATTTTGTAGGTCTTTAGGACAATAACACAACATGTACGTAACATAAACAAATTTTTTTTTTACAAATTTCTGTCCATGTTATGTACATTACTATCGGTATTTTGAACCCAATATCCTGCCGCATCCTAAATCTACTGCAACACTGTTTCTATTTTTACAGACAGTATCACTGTAGGGATAGAAATTCAAAAAGCAAATATTTGTGTGAATATATTTACAGTAATTAAAACTTTCCTTCTCTATTAACCCTAACCTTCCCCAGCCACACAGAATTAAACAGTAGTAAAGTGTTTAATTCTGTGGGGAAAGGTCTGGTAGGCCCATAACAGCTGGCTTTCGCATTGGGTTTGGCATACCTCAAAAAAACCAAGTCCAACAGCCTCTGTGCACAAATTCCCATGGGACTTTAACTTTTGTGAGTGAATGAGGAAGGTTGGGGCCAGCAACCCTTGCTGACGTTAGGGTTAACATACTTTCTGCCCATGCGCGTAAGTGCACAGGTTCTGAACATTACATTCAAAGGATACGTGTACGGGGGTATCTTGTAAAATCTGCTTGGAAAATTCTTTGCAAACAATTCTCAACAATGGGGTAGGAACTTACTCCTACTTGAGCAAACAGCTTGACGCCATTATCCTGACGTCTTTCCCCATCCCATGCCACACTACTGTACCCCTTCTGCACGGAAAAGATGTAAGCACCCGTACCAGGTACATCGCCTGACTTTGTAAGGGGAATCCGACACCGTGTCTATTTCCCTTTCGCTTTCTCTGAAAAACATTTAGGGGTCACACATGTTATTTCTGAACAGCTGGTGTGAGATTGGTGCTTTTAAAGCGGGATGTGGATGAACTTTTGCTGGGCCTGGTGAGGGTGGTCCTGGCCCCCCCACTAAACCCCCTTTCCTTTTCCCTCAGTTAATTGCACCAGCTGGCCCTTTCAGTCAATGCACAGCAAGGAAAAAAACACCTTCCAAAAGGTGACCTCTACACCTTGTCTTCATAACAAAACCACCAGCCATGGCAACTGCCGATACATGTACACATCACATTAAAAAAAGGGGAAGAAATGTAAACCAGACAAGCATGTACTTGTAGGCCTACTTGATAAAAACAAGCTCAATATCCTTCTGAGTAGATTTGTTTTCCAAATTGCTGGGATCCCTCAAGAGATGACAGTCTAGACTTTTACACCAACTGCATGTACCGGTATCTAATTTTTATCTCATTTCAATCCAAATCAAACATAGTTCACTTCCAATCTCTTTTATTTCAACAGCTTCGGGGATGTACAAGTACGTTGTTTCATTTTAGCTTCAAATGATTAACTGCTTGAGGGATTTGCTCCGGATGAAGCTACATTCCCTTTTTATGCAAGCGATTTCAATCATGTCATGTTACCTTTCACGGAGGAAAACGCAATAGTGGCCCTTCTAATTCCCAGTGAGGACGGGTATCTTTGGTGCATCACCAGTGGCCCTGGAAGATGGATAAAATGCCTCCAGCCAACTGGCTGCACATGCACAGTAGTTGAGACATAATGGCTGCAAAATCCATTAGGCGAATTCCAATTAAAATGTTCCTCTGCCATTACACCTGTGCTTGGTACTCTGACAACTGCAATCACTACATGTACATGTAGACATGTATGCAAAGGGTAGTTCAAATTCACTTATTATATCAGTGAGTCTTGATACATGCATGTATGTACATTCTATAAATTTGGGGTTAAAAGTGTGGCATTTCACAAACACAGCATGGTTTGAGGGGAAGTAGTGGGAATGACTGGTCCCGAGGTGTAGGTCAACTAGATTAGTCACACCGAGGGACCAGTAATTACTACTATTTTCCCGAAATAAACCATGCTGTATTTGTTTTACTACATTTCATAAAATATTCAAACAGAAATCTCATGTTACTTGTACTCACAGATGCCATTGCTGTTTTTCAGCAGCTAAATTTCCATGTTATGATAGTAGAGTGCATGTGCATAGAAACAGGGTTTCAATAGTCTGGTGCTGACATATGTTTGGGGTCTTTACTCTAAAAGTTAGGCCAATTAGCATACAACTCCAGACTGGTTCCATAAAGATTACATGACACAGACTACATATTTACGCGGCAGGCTAGTCCAGAGGGATTTTTTTAAGCTACCAGAAAAAACTACCGCACGGCAGCCAGGTGGATACTCACCGCGACGACGTCACCTGGTCGCGTATCATTTCTACTTCCCTGATACGAGGTCGAATTCGCCAATGACACGTTCCAATTTGCTCATGAATATTTATGAGGTGTAGTAATCTTGTGTCCCTGTTAAACCTGACATCTGTGATGTGACATGAAAAATCTTTGAAACTGACTTCAAACAATTTTAATTTGTTTGGCAGGTAATTTGGTATTAATCCACTCTTGGAAAATAAAGAATGTGTTTGAAACTTACAGAATCATGCATGTTACAGGTACGTCAGATGTTACAGGGACGCAAACTGCACCTCACATTTACAGAATGACCCTTAAACTAAAGGCCAGATGAATTTGTGCAGTTTCAAATCTCACCCACGTACAAGTAGTGTTTTGTTAATTAACACAGACTTCTGACAGGTTTTTTTCTCTTTTTTGTCAGTGTTGCCGTGAAGTGTGTTCGAAAACAGGACGAGCGTCCTCAACAAACTAGATTTTCAGTCACTCATGAGCTTTACAGATGTAAAAAAAATTGAATGCGGTCTTTTCAAATCAAGTTATGCACATGCTGTAGGCATACATGTATTAGACAAATACAGTTGTATTGGTAAACTCTCTCCTTGAATAAATTTACTAATGCCCATCTATTAAGCATGTGCTTTCAGTTTCAAACATATGCAAGTACATGTACATGAACGTAGCATTGATTTCACTTTTTTAATCATTAACTGCAATGTACAACTTTGCTTGAGATAAAAACCGTTCTCTTGGTCACATTAAATTCCCTAGCTGCTTTGATCCCCCGTAGACAATATATCAGTCATCGCTAATTTGCAATATGGCAAAGTTACCAGGGCAGGTATGTACATGTACATTACATGAACTTACGTGCACAAGCACACGTACACATGAATGCACTCTGCTGCAAGGGTCAGCCTCATTTGTGCGATAATGCAACTGGCGAATGCTAATCAACAAACGGCTGCATTTGAGACCCCCCCTGCAAAGATAACCAATACCTTTGGCAAGCCGCTGAGCTGGGGCTATTGTTTGACAGTTGGCAACAATACCACCATATTTATGCTGACAAAGGTCACACAAGTGTGGGCCATTTGACATTTTTGTCTGGCACCTTTTTTTTCCCCCAAGAGAGAAAAATTACAGAGACAATGCCCACATGAAGGCAGATACAGGCTAATGTTACAGGCTAAACAAGCTATCCAAGCTAAACAAGCCACAGGAACAGAATCCGAAACTCAAGAACACAGAATGTACGAGGTTTCTTTTCAAGTTCCTTAGAAGCTGGCTGCGAAAACTATTCGACACAACTCATAAACATGAATTATATCTTTCTAAACATGACTTTTTTCCATGAATTTTACATTCAGTTTTACATTCAGTATGTAAACATTTAGGTCTTTTAAACACAACCAACCTAAAACAACTGAAAAAACAACAAAAACAAACAAACACATTGAGATTTATGTACATGTATACAGCAACACTCAAAAGCACCGGTGTGTGTACAACTGTATTGCCTGCAGAGGGTGTGGTAAAA